AAATATACCCACAAGACCCTCAACCCTGTTTTTCCTTTTAGGTGATATTTCAGCTTCGTAACAGAAGTACAGGTTCGTGCAGCAATAGCTTAGACAGCTGTTTTAGCAGTGTTGGTTGGACATGTGGTATGTCCATACGGTGGCTGTGGTACGGGCACGTGGTCTAAAGAGCCGTTCTGCTTTGGTCCACATGAAGAGCTGATGTTTCATTTGGAAAACCAACATATTTTACAAAATCATGTTGAAATTAATCAGCATTATTAAGTGACTGGACCCAGCCACCCGCTGCTCCTTGAAGCTGTTGTTGACATCTCATGTGTACTAATCATGAAGCTTGGCTGCATGGAACAAAGCTCGTGTTCGCCAGTCAGCAGACACGTTCAACGCAGCACTTATCTCAGCAAAGTTTTAACGTGTTCACTCCCGAATAGTTACTCAAAAAACTTGGGTCATTAAATGTAGGAGTGTATGTTACTGTTTATATAAGAATAAAAGTGTTTACATTATGAATCCAAAATTAAATATAGACTGTGACTCAACTTAACTGTTTTTTGTTGTTTTTGTTTTTTTCTCAAACAGCTGAACAGACACACACACACACACACTGAGCAGCAGCAGTCACAGCCTTATTTAGCCATGGCATTCAGACACGCTTCAGATCCCGGTCGACATGGTAGCAGAAGGGTGAGTCGCTGAGGATGTGTACGTGTCTTTGTACTTGAGATTTTAATCTGAAGTTCAGGGACCACGCCTGAACACAGGCCACTTCTGTTCCTCGTTACATTTAAACCACCTGTTTAAACTAGTCTTCCTTCTAGTTCCTTCCTTGGATCGCACGTGGTCCATGTGGTTGCTCACCTCGTTTTGTCCATTTGCCCGTCCAGTGGCACGTCGTTTTCTGCTCTGTTGTGAGCTCATCTTCTCCACCGTTTTTGGTGGTTTATGCCTGCTGGTTCGGATCCACCATCTGTGGGACCTTCCGTGTTCGCCACGCAGGCCATCATGTCTTCCTGGGCTGGCTGTGGCTGCCTTGTCAGCCTCTGTCCTTCTTCGGTTCCATGAGGACTCCTCCAGCCTTTCCTACAACTCTCCTGCCGCTGACCACTTGCTGACCCTTCCTGCCTTTCATTATGTTCCTTCATTTCCTGGGCACCGAGTTGCCCTCTTCTATTCCATCTTCTCTTGCTACTTCTCCTCTTCATGGGTCCCCAGGCTGTGCACTCCTTTCCTGGTACCGAGATGCCATCAGTCCTCTTACTTTCTTTCTCCGAGTGACCGCCTTCCGATTCGATGGTCTGCCCAGGCCTGCCGAACAGCCTTGTGGGTTTCCCTAGGATCATGTCCAGACCTGATTATGTAAAGTTCCCTGAAACAGTTGCTGCTGTGAATTGGCACTATGCAATCAGTTTAATAAAAGGTTTTGGGAATCCGCTGTTGTCTGGGAGTGGCGTGGACCTCCAAAGCCTTTTCCCCCCAAACCTCCATCCACAGGCACTACACTGTATTCAAACATTCATTCGACATTCATCCTTTCCGGGGGGCGGGGTCCCTGCTAATGAATGGTTGTGTGGATACATGTTAGTTAGATACTACTGTGAGGACCTTCTGCACTGTGAGGACATGTCCAGTCCAGTTCAGGTTAGGACTGACGCAGTAAACCAGTGGCACCATTCACACCTATTTAAAGCCAAAGTGTCCCCAGGACATGCAGATAAGAACCACATGGCTCAGTCAACTGCAGTGACCACATTAAGTCGCTGACGCAACGAGAGCAGGTAACAGTGTTATTGTCTTCAGACTGCTGCGTGTGTCCCTGGTGTCCGTCCACTTCCACTACTGGGATGCAGACTGGCTTTTTGTGTACAGAGGTGTGGACATTCTCCATGTCCATCAGCATCTGTGGACATTTGGATCGTGGACCTCTCTGATCAGATATGAGGAGAATGCCTTCTTAAGATTCCATCTTTATTCTTTCATTAGGTTGTATGTTTTTAGCCAGATGATGGTTTTTATTTGCACATAAAGAAAATATCATTAACAAGTAACAAACAAAAGGAGGCAGAGTAAACAAACAAGCACTAAAAAGAAACCAACAGAAGATGGTAGATATCTGCAAACATAAGAGAAAGAAGAGGAAGACTGACCAAATCTGCTGCTTCCTGTGTGCGTCTGTGTGTGTACAGGTGTGCACGTCTATGTAGACATGTGCATGTATGTGAGCGAATAAACAAGACGATCTTTTCTGGGTTACTCGTCGGGTTTCACACAAACTGAAGATCAAACTGTATTTAACACTGCTCTGCTGTGGTCGTTACATAATGAAACCATAAACTAAACGGGTGGATCTTTACACACAGTCTCTCCCTCCTCGTTTCTCTCTCTTATCACGTCTGGCTCAGCTCCAAGACCAAAACCACCATGACTTCATCCTCAGGGATTTATAAATAGCACTACCAAGGACGAGTGCTGACCTCATCACAGGGATTTATAAATAGCACTACCAAGGGCGAGTGCTGACCTCATCACATCACCATCATCATCATCATCATCATCATCACGGACGATATGTTCACACATGACTGTACAACAGGAAGAGAAACTCAGCTCCATCATTTAACAGATACAGACATTAATAAGAGAAGAGAGAAACTAATGAGATGAAGAAAGAGCCACGGACACTGATGCTTCTTACTTCTTACATACTAGTGCATCACTGTTTGTTCATGGAACCAAGTGACTGTCATTAACTAGAGACACAGTCATCTGCTGTTTCAGACTGTTTGGATGTTTGACTGCTTAAAATGAAGCCACATCTGCTCATGAGCCCTCATCACATGTTCAGTTCTTAGTGTGGACCGGAGCTGTGATCAGCTTCCTGTGAGGATTTTTAGGGGCCTGATCAGGTCAGAGTCTCCAATAACGGACCTTTAATGATTTTGAATCATTAAAGTCATTTTTCTAAATAAAATCTGCAGGTAAAATGAGGGTTTCAACAGAAGAATTTGTTATAAATGAGCGTCAGTGTCTGGAAACAGAAAAAGGCCTGTTGTTCTAGAATAATCTGATAAAGTACAAACCACTTCCACCCAAGGTTTCACACTGGGGCCACGTCCCGTCTTAAATCTGACTGATAACTTCTCAACAACGTTGCTAAATCACGATCCAAACATTTTGGGTCTCTTCCAAACATGATGAGGCTTCAGGATGACTTCTACAAATTACAGCAGAACAACATGCTCCCAGCACCACGAGCTGATCAGTCATTGTAAAAATAGATCATTTGTATAAAAGTTCACATGATAAAAACACTAAACGTGCACAACCTGGGACTGAAGCAGTCAGATAACGACCCGGTCAGACCCACCTCCACTGTTTCCAGCAGAGCATGAAGTTAGAAAAGCTTTTACACAGTGTTACACAGCTACTTACGGCTCGCCGCGGCTCAGTGTGAGTGTGTGTCAGTCAGCCGACAACATGCTGGGTCCCTGTGTAAACCCATGGCTACACACTGACTGAAGCCTGTCAATCACACTCAGACTGAAACTAAGCCGTTTCTCTCCTTTTTGATTTCCTGTTACTGTGTGTGTGCTGCTGTTTTTGTGGGGACCAGCTTGAGCTTCAGGTATTTTCAAATGAAACCATTTTGCTTGTACGAAAGTCAAATTGGGTTTTATGGTTACAGTGCAGTTAGGTTTGGTTTTACGGTTAGAGACTGGGGGGGGTGGCATCATAGGGGTCTCATAGCAGTACTAATCTGTATTTGTGTGTGAGTCTTAGTGTGAAGGAAAGCTTTGCACCTGACTTTAAACGCAGGATGTGGTTAATGAACATCCTTCTCTTTCTCGCTCTGTGACTTCATTTGAGTTTCTACAGGAGGTGGGGTCATGTTAACATCGCCCGCTGGGCTCAGGCATCTGGTGCATATGCGAGGAATGTTTAAGTATGAATTACAGCCGCTGGTTTTTGTGGACTGGCTGCTTCTCTTAAATCCCAGCAATGTACTGATATTCTCTACATTTATTTTAGCCTATATTTGGTCATAGGTAGTCAAAGCGTCCCTGTTAACCGCACCAGACCGAGCCTGTCCCTGGATCACTGTGAGGCTGAAGACAACATAAAGCCAGGAGGATTCTCAGGCAGGTTCTGCAGCTCTGATCTCTAAGTGGGTTGATAGAGGCTGATCAGGTAGCAGGTTAACTGTAACAGGTCAAGGGGTTAATTGATTAGTAGCCTGATCACCAGCTAACTGAATCTGATTAATGACAGGCTGAAGAATGAATCATCTTCTTTTTGTCTGTCTGAAACCAGCGAGTTATTTTAAGGTGGAATTCCCCTTTAAATACACGCTACAAAACTTTAAGGTGGAGTGCACTGAGTGTGTGTCATTACAGTAACGGGAGACCAGGTCCTCGCTGTCATGTGTTCGGCTGTGGTGTAACATGGTGTCGCTGCAGCGCTGAAACTTCACGGCCTGTTTGACTTCAACACATGAACGCACAGTGCCAGCCCATTTAAGGAAAGTTTTATTTTATACGTCTGGATGATATTAGGACGTCCATTAAATGTTTTTATAATCAAGATGTGATGGCATCATGACGTATACACTGCTCCAGATCATTTATGTGGACGAATAATCGTCACTCTTTGTCTTTTCAGAACACACAGTCTACTCCGTACTTCAAATGTGATGCAGATTGTTTTTGTTTCCTTCCTCGACACCATGGCCATAAAAACGACGGTAACTGATCTGCAGACAGCTTGGTACAGTAACAGTGCATCAATGACGCTGTGATCTAAGCAAAGTGTGTTTCACGCCTTGGCCAACTGGCCAAATTCACGAGACTGGCAGAGATCTGAGGTCACTGACCTTTGACCTTTGATCACCAATATCTCATCAGTTCATCCTTGAACACTTGTGCCAAATTTAAGAAATTCCTTCAAAACGATCTCACAAGAATGGGATGGATGGACAACCAGAAAACATTACACCTCCACCTCCACCCATGGCTAGCACTGGCACGGAGGCATAATAAGGTTGTGTTTTCTTTGTACAGTGTGTGTGTGTGTGTGTGTGTGTGTGTGTGTGTGTTTTAGCAAGTGATGGTTTTCAGGCTGCAGCAGAGATAAAGCGACATGTTGACAAAGACAGAGACGAGACAGGAAGTGACTCTTCTTGCATCATCATTTACAGCACAGAGGACTGATGTTAGGGCTGCTGCGACCTTTGACCCCTTCACAGCTTGGTGCCAAACACTTAATCCTGGAAACACACACATCCTTAGTTTCCTCGTGTTTACATTCATTCCTCCAGTCTGAAGTGAACTCCCTTAAACAATTCTTTTTCTTTTCTCGTACTGACACGTTTTTCCTCCAGGTTGTCGGCCTACGTCTCCGTGAACTACTTTGGAAAACAGACGCCAATCATGTAAAAAGTTTGTAATAGATGGGCTGAAACCTTCTTGGCCGGCAGCTCGCTGCTTTAAAGCTGCTCTGACCAGCTGTGTCTGGGCCATGGCTGTTGTCAGGCTGGTTTAATTCCACTCTGACTGTTTCTGCTCCTTGTTTCCAGGCCAAACTCCCTGGCTGGTTGCTGCCTGTTACATATTTCTTTCAGAGGCTTCGTTATCAGCGCACTAACAGCAGGGAGGCTTCAGAAAGCAGCCAGTCGCAGACAAGAACACAAAGAACTAAAAGCAGCTCTCTTCTCTTTTTTCTCATGCCCACTGTGTTCTCACTTTGTCTCCTGCGTCCTCCTCCCTCTCCACTCCTCTGCTGTTTCTGTTCTATCGGTCATCGTTCTGATTTTCTGCAGCCTTATCTTGGGTGTTCTCTCCACTTTCTGTTTTGTTCTTTTCTGTGCTGCATTTTATCGTGTGTGTGTGTGTGTGTGTGTGTGTGTGTGTCATGGCAGAGACGCTGCTCAGCTGTATATACTTTATCACTACAAACCATAAAACTTCCTGCACACTGAGTACAGTGGCGTTGGTGTGTGTGTGATCACACCTCATCACTGAGCCTCTGTGTGTGTTACTGTTGTGCATAACAGCGGTCCAGCAGGGTGGCCTCTCTCTTTGCTGACAGGAAGTCACAGCTCAGAGAAACTGGGCCCGAGACTCAAAACACTGAAATAAATCTGGTTAAAATGACTTTGAATTGGCACTAGCTCCACGGCAAAAATCATATCTAACACAGCAGCTAGGTCCCACTAATATATCAACAAGTACTTGAACCACATGTAGACGACTTGTGTTCCAGGTGTTTCAGCCTTAAAGCTCCACTCTGGTCGGACTCAAACTCACAACCTTTGCACCACTGCGAAGCACATTCACTTTGACTTTGGTACGTCGTCACTCTTAGCTCTGTGTTTGGTCTCCACCACCTCCTGAGGGGAAGCTCTGGCTCTGCAGCTGCTACATGCTCCCCCACAGAGTCTGTGTCTGTCTCTCTGCTGTTTGCTGCTGGGCAGGTCATAGAGCTTGTTCCATGAAAACAGCTGAACAATTGCCCCCCCACCCTATTACCTGTGGTACTAGGCGATCTCTGGCTGCCACGCCGTGACCCCTCAGGCATGGTGCGTTGATGTCACAGGAAGTAGAAACCTGGTGAAAAAAAGATGAGAGACCTATGGTTAGCGTCTGCTTTCCCAGCTTCCTGCCACATCCTTGCAAACAACAAGTCAGTGCAGATTTTCCCTCACAGCATAAAAGCACAACAGCAGCACAAAGAGACTTCACACACTCAGAGGCAGGAGGTACCAACTTCTCTACAGGTCTTTGTGTAACAGAGGAAAGGAGACAAGAAGAGGAGGCCTGTGCCAAGGAATTCTGTCTTGTGTAAAAAGAGTGAGGACATATGTAATGTTTGGCTGGAAAACAAGAATGTAGTCTCTTCTCTTAACTGCTCTGTGTGTGTGTGTGGCCTGGTATTACTGTGGGGATTATGGGGACGTAAATCTGTTTACACAGTCGCCAGTGGGGACTCGACATCCTCATGGGGACAAAATGCATGTCCCTCAAATCATGACATTTTAGAGCAATGACCTGGTTTAAGGTTAGGTGAAGTGAGGGTTAGGTTAAGGGTCTCCAGGAAATGACTGAAATGTCCCCTGAAGTGATGAAAACACAGTGTGTGTGTGTCCACTGGGGGATAATGGCCTCCTCCAAACTCATTCACCGAGTAAAAACAGGTTGACCCAATTAGTCAGTTGTACACACGAGTGTTTCTGCAGCTGTCTGCTGGGTGAGGGCCGCTTAGTAACACAAGCCAGATGCAGAGCTGGTCTACAGGCTCCATGCTGAAATCCCTGCACCGTGTGTGGAGAGCCCCGCTGATGTGTTCCTGAGGGGTTTCAGGCTGGTGACTCCAACCAGTCCGTATGTGGGGACATGATGGGAGTGGATTTTCACAACGTTGGCTGTATACACACCTTAAAGTGTGCTGTAAAGCAGAAGCTACAGGACGTCACTCAAGTGGAATAAATACTGAAAATGACTCCCATACAGCCAGTGTGGTGCCCTTCTGTACTAATTAATAAATAAAAACATGGTGTTACACTATGGTAGGAGCACAGAAAGTACAGCGAAGAAGAACCCGGTGTGTAGGCACAGCACGAAGGTTAATCTGTACAGATTCACTGCTACTAAACACGGTGTCAGTACCATTCTGTTATGGGGTCAAAGTGCACATGACCAGAGCCACCCTCAGTTTAGTCACCTGAACATGTTCATGTAGCAAAAACTCAGACAAACTTAAGACTGGATGCTCGGAGTCCGTCGAGCTTTAGGCTCAGCAGAACGTGACCAGAGTTTCATGGGGACAAACAGATGTTATTATTTTCACATCATCGTTTGATCTGTTTTCATTACGTTCTCTCCACATTTGCTTTATCAGTCACAAAATGTTTTTCAGTTAATGTTATACAATTATGTTTTTTGTTTTTGAGGCAAGTTTATCTATTATTTATACACACAATTATATATTTAAATACAGCAACACAACATATGTAGCACAACAGTACCCAGATGTACTACTATTACATTTTCAGTCTTTAGGAAGACACAACCAAATAAGGGGCTTTGTAGCACAATGGTTAGCGTGTGGGACTTCTAGATGAGTATCAGTGAAAAAATTCAAAGGCTGTAGGTTCAAATCCCACTTTACAAACGCTCAAATAACCGTCAGGATTGTCACCACAGAATGTGTAAAGCTTAATTTATACTCAACAGAGAACATGTGACTCCAGGGAAAGTGAGGGAGTCTGAATTACAGAAAAGAAAAAGTGAGTGTCAGTCAGTCCAGCCTCTAGACTCAGAGAGAGAATGAGCTCTTGTTGCCACAACAGGACAATCTGCAGACAGACTACCTCAGTATTAAACAACCATCAAACACCATCCAGTTTGACTCCACTCAGCTCCACAGTGGAACCAGCTTCAGCTCCCAGAGTAGCTTAGGGCGTTACAGGAAAGCTACAGTATGAAGGCTCAGGGGTCAGAGGTCACAGTTCAGTTCACAGTTCAGTTTTCTCCAGATGACTCGTACAGTCCCAGCTCAGCCAAAGTGAAACCAAATGTACAGGGTGCGTTTCAGAAGTAAGGCTACTTCAGAGAGACAGCTGAAAGAAATGCTGAGTGAGCGACTGCACTGAGTCACAGAAGCTAGCGAGACCGAGGCTAGACAGGAAATGACAACATTATTTTGGCTCCCAGTAAAGCAAACTTCCATCCCTGCTCCTGATGCTGTTATTAGGGACAGCTGGCATGTGAATGAATGTGGTACACATTCTGTGTTTAACCATCCACCCTGATGCCTCCTGAGCTCTGGTGGAAGTTATAAAGGTAATACAGGAAGTAAAACCGGGAGTCGGTCCCTATGGCCAGCGTGCAGGCTGAAACAGCTGAGTTTTTAATAACTAACTAACAAATCAACTCACGTTACATGTTGGCACATCCAGAACATACAACTTCTGTGATCAGGCCACAACGTGGAGCTCACACTGAAGGTGATGACCAGTGTTGTTCGCCGACAAAATGGATTCAAACATCCTCAACAAAAAGAGAGAAAGGCAGCACTATGTGAAACCCTACTGTGAATGGAAGGTAAGGAGGCAGAAGGAAATCCAAAGCTGCAGTGTTACAGTCTGTTCACTTCATGTCACAGCTCAGTCACAACAAGTGGAAGACTTACAGATGTTTTCACAGCAGACATGTGAGAAATCCAACTGAAGACTTGTTCAAATTGCAGACAGTTAAGAAAAGTGTCTGACCGGCCAGAAATTCTAGCATAACTCTAAGGTTGTAGGTTTGAGTCCCACCAGAGTTTACACAGAACATGTGCATCACATGCACCATGAATGTTGTAGGTAAACTGTAGTGTTTTGTTCCAAAGATACATCTTGTCTCTCCAAAACTATGTGACACACAAATCAATGAGCTTAGTACCTGACAGGTGAAAAAGAAAGAAGGTAAACACGGTGTGTTCAACCTGACACCAACAGGTGGCATCACACTCACTGCGTCCTTGTGTTTGGGTTCAAACACACAAGACTGAAACGTAACAGAGAAAATAGAGACTGATGACAATAATTAGTGCTGGAGCTGATGAAATCTCACAGTTGTGCAGTAACGAGCCTATAGGTCTGCAGTCCGCAGCCTGGGAACCACCCTATACTGTCTGTGTGTTTACTTTCCCGTCGCTTGGACCGGGGTTCATGTTTATATGAGCTCACTGAGAGGGAGGCCTCCTGGGCTTCAGCCCTCGGCGGCGCCTCCTCAGCTGCTCATGCTAAGCTTCACTAATCAAATACTCTGGTTTGTTTAACACCAACACTTCGATGACAGCGGTGTCAGTGGCACTTTAACAAAAGACAGACTGTTTAAAACTGGTACATATGGGTATTTGTCACAGTGTTACTGTGCTGCTGGTCATCCACTGTTGTGTCTGGTAGTGGCTCAGGATGTGAGGCCAGAGAGGAGTGGCAATAATATGCAACAGAGATTATTTACAGAAATATGAGAACTAAACGTCAGCTGGCTCAGGGTTTGTGTTGCTCAGCTTTTGTTTCAGTCTACACAGGAGGGAGAAAGCTTCACACTTAACACATCTCAGTTGCTCAACAACCGGCAGATATCTGGAGCCAGTCGATCCCTGTCTCCTACATTTACCTTCATTACAGCAACATTTTGTAGGAAAGGAAATCACTGCCTGGGCTGCATTCAGTGGCCACTCTTTATTAGCAGCAGTGGAGTCGCTGGCAGATGGATGGAGGCAGTGACATGCGGTCAGGGGAGGCAGGTGAGGCAGAGCCTCCCCTGTCAATCTTGAAAAGAAAAAAGTTAACCATAAAATATAATGAATGTTAATATTTGTCGGCCGGTGTGTGTTGTAGGTCCTTTTGCCGTTCGAATCCGATGTTGAAGGATTTTTTTTCAATAAAGAATAGCAGAATTTTCGTATGTCCCGTTCAAATACATGGAGGAGATGCACGATGAGGCAGCACTTTGCTGTGCCTCTCGGTGGATCATGTGATCCTCACAAACTGTATGCGATGCAAACAGTGTGTCGCTGTCCCTCTATATATATTGACTTCACTGCAGGGAAGAAGTTCTTGTTTCAGCAGTGTTTGAATGAAACCATCTTTCTCTGCTGTTCAAGCAAAAGTAGAAGAAACACCAGCTGAAATGGACTCCCAGGTGCGTCACAACTACCACGGTGACTGTGAGGCCACCATCAACCGGATGGTCAACATGGAGCTCTATGCTTCCTACAACTACACTTCCATGAGCTCTTTCTTCTCCCGTGACAATGTGGCCCTCCCAGGCTTTGCTCATTATTTCAAGGAGTGCAGTGATGAGGAGAGGGAGCACACTGAGAAGCTGCTGTCCTTCCAGAACAAGAGAGGAGGAGGCAGCTTCCTCCAGGACGAGCCACTACCTGAATGACCAGGTGGAGCACATGAAGAAGCTGGGTGACTACATCACCAATCTCAGCAAAATGGATGCTGCCAACAACAAGCTGGCAGAGTACCTGTTTGACAAGCACACCCTGGAGGGCAAGAGCTAAACACACAGGCCCAGGAACGAGCTTGGTGTCAGTTGTGGTGACCTACAGACTTCAGTTTATTCACTGAGCTTAACTTGTAACTTCTCCTACTCTGTGGTGGCGCTTTAAGTGTATGGAAGAATGTCTACAGCTGTTAATTGCCTCTGACTTTCTGATGTGTCAGTGTGAATAAACATTTTGAACTGGAAAATATTTGGACATTTTTGTCCAGAAGGATCTTCTTTATTGAAAACATTTGTTTTAATATTGGATTCAAACGGTAAAAGGGTTTGTAATACATACCAGCTGACAAATGGATTTCGTGTACAAGGTAAGACCATAAACTTTTATTATTTCTAGTTAGAAATAAGCTCAACTGGAATAAATTCTAACCTCAAATTAAATATGGGTCACGTTTGTGTGAAGAATGTTGATATGAGATATAAAACAACCCATTGTCTGTTAACAGACAGTTTGTATTTGTAAATCTGACTGTAAAAGAGTTAGTGCCTCACCAGCTGTCAACCTCACCGCACGTCACTGGATGGAGGAGGTACACAGT